TTTCTGCTGAAAAATCAGCTGATAGCCTTATTGATTTCCCTTGCAGATAACTGTTTTCTTTTCTCTTGCTGCCTTTAGATTCTCTCTTTATCATTTTTTGCCATTTTAATACTATGTGTTTTGGTGTGGACCTCCTTGGGTTGATTTTGTTGGAGGCCCTCTGTATGTCTTGGATCTGGATTTCTGTTTCCTTCCCCAGATTCAGGAAGTTTTCATCTATTATTTCTTCAAATATATTTTCTGCCCTCTTTTATCTCTTCTTCTGGGATCCCTATAATGTGAATGTTATGATGCTTGATCGTGTCACTGAGTTCCCTTAATCCATTTTCATTCTTCATTATTCTTTTTTCTCTCTCCTGTTCAGCTTGATTACTTTCCACTACTCTGCCCTCCAGGTTGCTGATCCATTCTTCTGCTTCCTCTAGTCTACTATTATTCCCTCTAGTATACTTTTAATTTCAGTTATTGAGCTCTTCATCTCTGATTGGTTCTTTTTTTCTATCTCTTTGTTGAGGGTCTCATTGAGGTCCTCTACTCTCTTCTCCAGTCCAGTATCTTTATGGCCATTCCTTTTTTTTTGTTAATGTTTATTTTTGAGAGAGAGAGAGAGAGAGAGACAGCGTGAGCAGGGGAGGGACAGTGAGAGAGAGGGAGACACAGAATCCGAAGTAGGCTCCTGGCTCTGAGCTATCACCACAGAGCCTGATGCAGGGCTCAAACCCACAAACTGCAAGATCATGACCTGAGCCAAAGTCGGACGCTCAACCAACTGAGCCACCCAGGCGTCCATCTTTATGAGCATTGCTTTAATTTCTCTATTGGGCATATTACTTATCTCCATTTCACCTAGCTCTCCTGCTGGGATTTTGTCCTGTTCTTTTATTTGAGACATATTCCTCTGTCCCCTCATTTTTACTAACTCTCTGTGTCTGTTTCTATGTGTTAGGAAAGTTAGGCATGTGCCCTGCTCTTAAAAGTATTGGCCTTATGAAGAAGAGGTCCTGTGGGGCCCTGCAGTGCAATTATCCCTGTTCACCAGAACCTGGTGCTTCAGGGGTATCTATGTGTTGCATGTGTCCTACTGTTGTGGCTGAGCCACTTTTTCCTTCGGTCTGGTCATCTGCAAGGGCTCCCTTTGCCTGTTGTGGGCAGGGTTTGGTCTCTGTGTTGTTAGTGAGCCAGTCTGGAGCCACCTTAGGCTAGGCTTGAGTCAGACCAGGCACTTGCTAGAGCTGCAGTAGCACAAAACTGCAGGGCATGCTGTCCTGTTCCCTGAGAAGGGGACATTGCCTACTGTCAGGTCGGATGTCTGCCCCCAGCCCACTGCTGGGGCTGCAATCTGACTAGTCTGTGTGGTTATCTTCCCCTCTCCCCAGTTCAGAAGTCACTTTGGAGTGGTGCTGGCTCCTGTCGGGGCCATTTGCACACTGCCAGGCTTGTGGCACTGCTTTGAATGGACTCCTGATGAGGGCAGGTCCACAGTAGAACATGGGGGTGGGGTGCACAGTGTTAGCAAGGTCTATGCCTGTCTGCTGGAGACAATTTTGAAAATTCCTGCCATCAGGCTGGAGGGGACAGGTCTGCATGGAGGTGGGGTGCACAGTGCCAGCAAAGTCCACACAGTGCTGTTGTGGGAGGGGACCTGCAGCTATCCGGGAAAACTGCCTAGGCTGAGATAGAGGGGGTGGATCCACAGAAGAGCATAGGGGATAGGGCACACTGTTGACAAGCTAGGTGGAGAGGGTTCATGCTATGCTGGTTCCCTCAGGTGTCCGTGTATCTAGGCTGGGGGGCAGGGGAAGGAAATGGTGCTTGACAGTTCTTTTGTTGTTGAAGTCTCCCAAAGATCTCGGCCCCTCCAGCATATCTCTGTGATTGGTAAGCAAACCTCCCTCCCTAATAAACTAGGCATTTTTCAAACTGCTGTTTCTATGCTGTATCTCAGTGGAACTGTTTGTTGTGCTAAGGGCAAGTACTCAGTTTCCTCTCACCCTCCACCTTTCCTAGAGCCAAAACCACTGTTTTTTAAAGTCTCAGATGTTAAGCCCAACTGATTCTAAGAACTCACGAAATTAGGACCCTCTGGTTTCCAAAGCCAAATGTTATGGGAATTCAACTCTCCTGTGTGGGTTCCCCAAGCCTAGGGTGCCTATTGTGAAGGTCAGTTTCTCTCCCTTCTCTGTGCCTGCCCACAGTGTCCCTTCCTCCCGCAGATAGTCTCACAGGTCAGTTTGGCTCCCAACCACATCTCCCCCCTCTTACCCTCTTCAGTGTGGCCTCTTCTCTACACTTAGCTGTGGAGAGCCTGTTCTGCCAGTATTTGGATCATTTTCTGGGTTATTTACACTGATGTGGGTGTTACCTGTTGCATCCATGGGATGAGGTGAGCTTAGAATCCTCCTACTCCACCATCTTCCCCAGAAGTTGAGCTATTGTCATTTTTATAAAGGACTTTTAAAAGTGTACCTACAGGAGCATCTGGGTGGCTCAGTCGGTTAAGCATCCGACTCTTGATTTCAGCTTCGGTCATGATTTCACAGTTCGTGACATCGAGCCCTGCTTCAGGCTCTGGTCTGACAGCGTGGTACCTGCTTGGGATTCTCTCTCTCCATCCTTCTCTGCCCCTCCCCCTGCTCTCACTCTCTCTCGAAATAAACTTTAAACAAAAATAAAAACAAAAGTGTACATATAAGTACATATAAGTGGTCTGCTACTTTAATTTTTTTAATATTTATTTGAGAGAGAGAGAGAGCATGAGCAGGGGAGGGGCAGGGAGAGAGGGAGACACAGAATCCAAAGCAGGCTCCAGGCTCTGAGCTGTCAGCACAGAGCCCAATGCGGGGCATGAATCCACAGACCACGAGATCATGAGCCAAAGTCGGATGCTTTACCAACTGAGCCACCCAAGCGTCCCTGTGGTCTGTGGTCTGTTACTTTAACCTAACATAAAAGTGGGCATCTAATTAGGCCACATTATTTTCAACATTTCTATGAAATAGAATGTTGGGGCACCTGGGTGGCGCAGTCGGTTAAGCGTCCGACTTTAGCCAGGTCACGATCTCGCGGTCCGTGAGTTCGAGCCCCGCGTCAGGCTCTGGGCTGATGGCTCAGAGCCTGGAGCCTGTTTCCGATTCTGTGTCTCCCTCTCTCTCTGCCCCTCCCCCGTTCATGCTCGGTCTCTCTCTGTCCCAAAAATAAATAAACGTTGAAAAAAAATTAAAAAAAAAAAAAGAAATAGAATGTTACAACCATCGGACATTTGGGTTATTTCTGGGTTTTCTCTGTGAAATGAAGTACTTTAAAGCAACATCTGTGCAGCCAGTCTGCTTTTGTTTGTACTTTATCAGTGATATAACCTTTGGCAATTACATCAATGTCATCATCTATAGGAGGGAGATAATGGTGTGACCTACCTCTGAAGGTAGTGGTGTGAATTAATTACACATTATGTGCTAGAAAATGTGTCTAGCCCATAGAAAGCATTTAACTAATATAAACTATTCTAAGTGTGGATTTTAATAACATAATAATGAACACCAGCAGGCATTAAGTTCTGATTTATTACCCCAATCTCATGATTGCCATATTAATTCCCAGCACAGTACTCAAGAGACTTTTTAATGGTTTGTATCTCCCAGACTGGAGGCTTCACAAAGAGGACACTTAGGGTAAGAACTCATCCTTACTCAGCAAGAACTATCTCCCAAATATCTAGGTGAATGAGGCCTGAGAGTGTCAGGGTGAGGGGGGGCGGGGGGCGGCGGTGCAGAAGGCAAACAAGGATAGAGATCTGGGTCAAGTGACAAATACCTCTTGGATATTAGTGACAGAAAGGCTGCCAGCATTCAGAGTCACTCCTGTGTAGATAAGACTACCATACCTATAGGAAAGAGATTTCTGACATGGGATGCCCAGCCAGCTCAGGGAAGAAATTTTGGGAAGACAGTAAATGTGGCAACAAATGAAGTGCCTGCTCAGCCCCCACCACCCCCCCCCCCCCTTTTTTTTTTTTTTTTTTTTTTGGACACTGCAGAACTCAAAATGGAAAGAAACCATGTATATGCAGTAAACATGGAAAAGCCTTTAGCCAGGGAACCATTCTCCTCTTGAAACATGACATAATTCATGCTCAAAAAGATCCTAATAAATGTGGGAAAGTCCCTCATCAGAAAACATTCTTTATTCAAGAACATAGTTGGTACCAGAAGGAAGTTTTTCTAATGCAATGAATGTGGGAAATTTCTCTCTTCACAATGTCTTCTCCTGTACACATTTTCAACTCTCACTGCCTCACTCACCCTCTTGCAGGAAGCCTTCTGTGGTAGATGCCTTTCCATGCCTCCTGAATACCTGCACTCCCTCAAACATTGATGTTTCCCTGCATTCCTCTAGGCAAGGATGCCTGCTGATTCATGGCATGGTCCAAGAGCCCAACATGAGCAGCTGAAAGAAGGGTTGGGCAGGCACCTACGCACTTGCCTCCAGATCTGGCTGAAGATGGACATCCTCACTTTGATGGACTTTATGGGAACTTCCTCTATCTTCAGGCCCTCCTCCGAGGCCCACACTACCTTCCTATAGGCTCACAAGTTCCACAGAGTTCTCTCTTCTGGCTGGATATCTGAAGGAAAGAAGAAAGGAGACTGGGGGAGTGGGAGCTCATAGCAAAAGCCAAGTCCAGGGATCCCTGGAGCCAAGATCTGCTCACCCTTTCCATGAGCCACCTGCCCTATTCATTGTACCTCTAGCCATCTGAGTCTCCTCCCGGAAAGCCATGCTCCATCTCTAGCTGGATGCCACATTCCAGGGACAGGCTCCTCCTCACTGAAGCTAGGAGTTGAGCCTCTCCTCCCTGTCCCAACACCATATTCATCCCTTGCCTGGTCCTATTACCCATGTGTCTCCTCCCAGATACTGGCTATGGCCACTCTTCTCCTGTCCCTCCTAGCTCTAACCCACAGATATGTCCTGATGAAACAAACTCTAGACAGAACCTAATATACACAGTCAAATAAAAACAGTTCTTTATTGAACACATTTACGCTGAAGTCAACCAACCCCTGACCACAGATAAAGCCCATTTGGTGATCAGTACAACAATGCAAGGAAAGAAAGGCAGAGGCTCAGGTTCCAGGTTCCTCATGTCAGAAGTTTCTGATTCACAGAGAGGAGGGCTGCAGAGAACTTCATCAGCATCTGGTCATTAATTACAGCAGAAACTGAGATGACACTTGGAGGAACAGAGGAAACTGGGAGGCTCTGCAGGGACATTTGTTGGTCCCACACTTGACTTTTACATACGCACTGCCTATGTCCCTTCCTGCCAGTGACAGACAGGACCCTTGAGAGTTCCCTCAGGGACCATTCCTCAGGTGAGACCTCCTTGATGGAAACCGAAGCCTCTGAAAACATCGTGAACTGTCTCCTCATGAAAAACTGCCCAATCATTCCCAGTTTGTTGCCTAATCAATAAAACTGCCCATCTTTGATGGAAAGGATCACACACAGGATGTTTCTGAGCTCAGCCTTCCCTGTCTAAATCCAGGACGGAAATTCTGCCAGTGTCGCCAATACCAGGACCAGAAAGTGCTTTGACAGAGTCCAACTTCACTTTCTTAAATGGGAGTGACAAAGTCTTGAGGGAAGCAACAAGGCTCTCCTGAACGCCTGAGTCTCCACATTCCCAAAACCCAGAGTCTTTGCCACAGACATGTACACATGTGTCATGCAGGATTCACGTACATGGGCTTCCCCACAGCCCAGAGGGCATACACCACTCTTGGCACCTCCATCAAGGGGACAGTGAGGCCACCGTGTTCATTCTCAGACCTCTGAGTATCTATTCTTACACTCTGCAGCAGCTCCTCCAGATCCTCTTCTGTCTCCAGCCTGCCGAGTGCTCCACTGGACAGTGAGGACACTGATAGATCTACTTTGATGTCACAAACAAATATCACCTCATAAGGTGAGCTCCAGATGCTCCAGTTAAACAATCTGTTCTTTGGGCCACCTGGTGGCTTAGTCAGTGGAACATGCGACTCTTGATCTCAGGGTTGTGGGTCCGAGCCACACATTGGGTATACACATTACTTAAAATAAAATCTTTAAAAATGAAAAATAAAACAAAACAACAAAAAACATTCTGTTCTTCATCACTTAGACAAAGTGCAGCCCCAGAATCCAAGTGCTGGTCCCCTCTGTGTGAACCAGGCACAAGCATGCTCTCCATGTGTCGGTGGCCCTTCTCTAGGCTGCCTGGGCTCTGGCTCAGATGGTGCTTTCTGGTCATAATTGTTAAGCCACTCCATGTGCCTTTAAATACACCATTCACCTCATTTGCAAAGTATCTTCCATTCCCAGACTGGAGAACAGCAGGGGCCCCATAGATGCAGAAGATGTCTGGCAGACATCTGGCCACATCCGCACCACTACTGCTGGTCAGAGGCCTCAACTGGACAAATTTGGTTGTGTGTCCCTGGTAGACCATGATGAATTTGAATTGTCTGTTGGCCTGCCACTGCATGTCAATAAGGTCCACCTGGCACTGGCTCCTGGTCTCCACAAACATCAGTCTTCAACATACCTTTCTTCAGTGGATGCAACTCCTGCTGACAGGATTTGCATATAGCTTCAAGTATAGGAGTATGGCTTCCCGTGTCACATTCTTGTATCTCTTTAGCTCTGCCAGCATCCTAGGCTTCCCTCCATGCCCAATGCTAACATGGGCCTCATGTAGCACATCATACATGTTCTTGTTTTTAATACGGTAGCAAAAGCTCATGTTGCCTCTGACAGGGGGATAACTGGCATTTCCTCGTTCCCAATGCAGAGAACAAATCACTTCAGGCAGCGGAGCAAGAGGGTAGACTTCCTCTTTTGTAGTTTGGTATGTTTCACTTGTTCAATGATCTCACTGTACTTGTCACTTGTGAAATACATGGAATTATCTTCTCTCTTTTTAGACAGCAAAAGGTCAAAACAATGATAACACTGTTTGGCATCACACCCAAGATCCTCCCTGGATGCAGTTGGGAGCTGTGATAACAGTGGGGAGCAATACCAGGTGGAAAGTAATGCAGGCACAGTTTACCAAAAACGCTCAGCCAGGTCTCCCTGCCGGGGCAGTTGGGCACTCACTGACCAGCAGGCTTGGACTCCTAAATGGAAATGGGCCACATGCCCCAAACCCCATGGCAAACTAACAGCAAGTGACTCTTCCCTTATCTGATTAACATATCCAAAAATGGTGTTTAAAATCAATCTTTCATCTGACTCTGGTTGTTGTTGTTGTTGTTGTTGTTGTTGTTGTTCATCTGACTCTGATTCTACATTGAGTGGTGCAGACACCCAAATGGGAGTAGCTGACCGGCAACCCTGGGATCTCAAGATACACCCACAGTAGCCACTCCCAAGAGAAGCCAGAGCTCTGGGTGTCCAAGATGGCCCAAGTTTTGGGATAGAAGAATTTCCTGCTCAGGTGTGATAGGTCCAGCCAGCAGGTAGTACTCATTTCATGTATGTAATATGAGCTGGAGTCTGGACATATGCCCGCCAGGTGTGCACAGGTGTGTGCAGGAGGCAGATGGGAGATGTGTGGGCATCTAGGCTTGACAGCAAAACCTTCAGGCCAAATTTAAACAATAACCAGTCCTCTAGAGCAGCCCTCCATCTCCCGACTCCTGTGGAAAGAAGGTAGTCTCGAGTAAAGACCTTCTGCAGCAGGAACCCATAGCTGGAGACAGACCACTCACCTGAGGGCCTGTATGTCCAGCAATAAGGCCAACCCACTCCCCAAAATCCGCATCCTTACCCAAACAGGTCACATCCCCAAAGGTCACCTTCTGCAGAGCAATGGGTGGCCCCCAGCATTCCGTTGTGGGATCCACGGCCTTTTCTCCAAATGCCACCACTGTCTGGAATGAGCCGTGTCCACAGGGAGAAGAAAGTCAAAAGGGCATGGCAGGTATCAAATGGAAACCGGTAAAGAGAGGAGTGCAAGGCAGAGAGACCAGGGGAGGAGACAAGAAGAAAGGAAGAATTAGCATCCAGTTCTGGCCAAGGGACACCTGCAGCCATGAGGATGCCCCTTGCTGGGGGCTTGGAGATCTGGTGAGTATTCTACCTCTCTAGCTCACCCACCAGTCTCTCCTCTCTCTCCCCAACCAATCAGATGGGGCACAGCATCATTTCAGAGAACAGGACAGGGTGACAATTAGCATCCAATTGCTAATCAGTTCCTCGTTGGACAGGTCTGCCCCAGGGCTCTAAAGCAACTCAACCACAGCTGCCTCTGCCACCTCTCTGAAACCTGCAACATGTGTCAGTGCCAGGATGTCCTGCTGGATCTGTAGTAGAGTTTCCACATGCAGTCTGCTGGCCTCCCGCTTGACGCACTGAGGCCACAGCTTTCTCCACCCCCTACTCAGCGTCGCTGGTGGGACCTCCTCCCAGGACTCAGAGATGTTGTAGACACCATCAAGGATGCTGTATACTTGCCAGAAGTCAAAGACCACAGACTGCTGGTCCCTGCCTCCCACCCTCAACGCCAACAGGCAGAAGACCCTCCATAAGCAGCAGGCCTTGAAGGTGGCAACAATGCCCTGGTTCTTGGGCTGGATGAGGGCCGTCGTGTTCTTGGGCAAGTACTCCACACACACATGGTCGGAGAGGTTGTCCAGGTTCCCAGGATGGCCAGGGACACTGTCCAAGACAAGCAGTGATGGGCACAGAACCTCTCCACAACTGGGCAGAAGAAGTGCACAAACCACTCCTGGAAGATGCTCATGGTCACCCAGGCTTTCTTGCATGAACGCCACACCACAGGCAGGTTGGGCTTGGAGAAGCCCTTGAGGGTGTGAGAGTTCTCTGAGGGATACACCAGCAGCAACTTCAATGAGATCACCAGCCGCACTGCCACTGAGTAGCAGCGTCAGGATATCTCAGGCAGCTTTGCACCCAGGGGCTGATTTCTCCTCCAGGGAAAGGAACGTCCTGTCAGGCAGTCGCTTCCAGAAAAGCCCAGTCTCATCCACGTTGAACACCTACCATGGTGTGTAGCCACCCTCCTGGATCACTCTCTGAAGCAGGGCAGGGTACCTGCACACAGCTGCAGCAGTTGTGCCCATGGCCTCGCAGCCCCCAGCCTCACCACCCACCCCAAGGCATGCAGGCTTTGGCATGCCTTAAAACACGCGAACCACCCACAACTGCCCCGAAGGTCTCCAATTGGGCACCCGCGCCCTGCTCCCACTTGAGGTCCTCGAACAGGCTGCAAGCCTTCTCCTGGACAAGCATGATGTTGATGGGCACATTGAGCTCATTCTGGTCACTGATCCACACGCTTAGCTTCCACTCCATATTCTCCATCACCAGGCTGCAGCTGTGCGTCAATTTGGTGGCCGCCTGCAGTGTGGCCACCTGGGAACTGGCTCGGATCTTCTCCTTGTTGTCACGAATGGTAGCCATGGTGGAGGTGGAGAGCCCCAGCGCATTCCTGATTCTGCTGAGCTTCTCTCTGGCTTCAAAGAGCCACAACACCTCAAGCTTATCCTGCAGGTTGATAGCCTTGTGGTCCCACTTGGTGCATGGGCACTGGCTTGTGCTGGGTGGCCTCTTCAAAGAGATCTTCAGCCCAGAAATGGTAGAGGAGGCTCTGTCTGCATCACTCTCTCCAGACACAGCTAAAGAATAAGTATGTTCCCACCCTGTGACTGCTGATTTCAGTGCCACTGCCACCCTGGCCCTGACCCTCTGTAAAATGGGAAGAAAATTTTACTAGTGGGGAGTGCAGACAAGTTTGGATAAAACCTGCTAAAGACCATTGATAAATCTCTTTCATTTGGCCACAGAGCAATGGATGAACTCTGGTCCCATAGACTAAATTAACTTACCCTCAGTAATGGAGCAAGCTTCTGAAAAACCATTACCACTTTACAACAATGCCTCCCAATGGGCACACTGTTCCAAATCACCCACTTCAACCCACCTCCTGAAGGATCCAGTGTGATACAATACATAACACACTGATGTCAGACCAAACACAGAAATCAGAAAGTAATGGGGGAGAGGTGGGGGGGCACTCAGCACATTGTAGCAGGGTACAAAAATTTACAACAACTGTACATAAAACTGAACTCTGAGCTTCCAGGCATCCAAGCAGGAAAACAAAAACCTGTCCTGTTAGAATAAACACATTTCATGGCTCTGAGCTTGCAGAGACCGTGAACAACGTAATTAAGGATATCAAAATGCATGGTTTTTGTTCTGTTGTTGTTTTGTTTTGCTAGAGGGAATAGCTAACCTTTGAACAACAAACAGGTTTGGGGCACCAACCCCCCTCCAAGCAGTTGAAAATCCACTTATAACTTCTGACTCCCCAAAAACTTGATCACTAATTAACTACTGTTGACTGGAAGTTTTACCAACAGCATAAGCAGTCAATTAACACATATTTTGTGTATGTATTAGACACTGTATTCTTACAATAAAGCTAGAAAAAAATGTTATTAAAAACACAAAGAAAATACATTTACTGAAGTATACTCTATATATAAAATAAAACCCATGTATAAGTGGACTCAGGCAGTTCAAGCCCATTCTATTTAAGGGTCAACTATACACGGGCATGGTAAAATGACCCAGACAGGCTACTGTGGAATCAGGCAAGGGGCCTAGAGGCAGTAGGGAAACTCATTTCCCTAGTAGCCTTCCACAACAAGGCCGACCAGTTTCTTTCAGGAACAGCATCTCTGACAGTTGAGCTTTGCACTACTGACTTGTGACTGGAGTTTCACAGTGAAGCATCCTGGCTATTCCCAAGAGCTACCAGCATGTCAGTGACTCACAGAAAGTCTGTTGAGCCCAGCTTGGGTACATGTGGACAGGGCAACTGTAGGAGTTCTCAGGTTTTGCAGTCTCTCAGGAAGCTCCAGGAATGACAGTCAGGGGTGGGGAGGGCCAGGGTGTGGCCCACTCACCTGGCAGGAGACCCTGGGCATGCTCCTTGGCTGATCTGCTCTCCTTCCCATGTGGGCTCAGTCCATGTCTGTGAGCAACACCCTCTCTCCTCCTGGAGAAGCCCCTGGGTTACCGCTAGGACCACAAACACACAAGTACCCTGTGACACAGAAGCAAGCTTTGGTCCCTATCTCATGGAGCAGAGCCATCCCTGGGGAGACTGTACAATGCCCAAGGACCAGAAGGTCCCTCCACTTCAAGGCAAGCCTGACCAAGGAATGGAAGGCCAGCTATTTGTCACAAAACACCTCAGCTCCCTTTCCTGCCCAAAAGAGACAACCATGCAGGGCTACCATGAGGACTGAAGGTGAAACAGCCCTCCACAGTGCTCAGCACCAAAGCAGGGGATCCAAGGACATCCATGTGCTGAAAAGCCATAAGGGCAGAGGAGGCAAAGAGGAGTGGCAGCTGGGACAGGTGTGGGTGTCCTGGGGTGGGCAAGATAAATGACTCCTAAAAAGCCACTAAAAGGAAAGGGTCAAGCTGCTTCTGACACTGGAAGGGTGCCCAATGGGAGATGGAGTGAAAAAGCAGGTGCAGAGCATTAATGGGGCTTTCTTTAGAAGTGTCTATATACCTACACACACACACACACACACACACACACACACACACACACACACACACGTGTGTGTGTGTATGCTGCATATGTGTATTTAAAACAAGGGAGGAAGGACACACAAAGGTTAACAGTGGCCATCTCCAAAGAGGCAGATCAGGTGTGAGGCTTGACCTTTATATATTTTGTTAAGATTTGAATTACTTTATAATGCATATATGTTACATTGTTAGATTTAAAACATAATGGGAGGATAAACTGATAACGATCAGCGTATTGCCTTCTATCTCTTTGCAACAAAAACCATGACTAAATTAATAAGAGAAAACTCACTTTGGGGAAGTCAGGCAAAGACAAGTGGTGGACAGTGAAATGGAGAGGAGAAGCCTGCTAGGGTGGGGACCCAAGAGAAGCAAAGCCAAGATCAAAGCCAACCTAGGAGGCACAGCCAAGGCACCCCAGACACAGGAGAAGAATCTCAACCCCCATTACAGGCCAATGCAGTCAGTCCTGCCCAAAGATATGTCCTCTGGACCTACCAAATGCTGTTTTAAACCGGAAACTGGTGGAGCACATGGCTGGCTCAGTGGGAGGAGCATGCAACTCTTGATCTCAGGGTGGTGAGTTCGAGCCCCATGTGGGGGGTAGAGATAACTTGAAAATAAAATATTAAAACAAAAATTTTTTAATAAAAAATAAATTATGTGGGAATGCAAGCTGGTGTGGCCACTCCGGAAAACAGTACGGAAGTTCCTCAAAAAACTAAAAATGGAACTACCCTACGACCCAGCAATTGCACTACTAGGCATTTATCTACGGGATACAGGTGTGCTGTTTCGAAGGGACACATGCACCCCCATGTTTATAGCAGCACTATCAATAATAATCAAAGTATGGAAAGAGTCCAAATGTCCATCGATGGATGGATGAATGGATAAAGAAGATGTGGTGTATGTATGTATATATATGTATATATGTATATATATGTACATATGTATATATATGTATATGTGTGTGTGTGTGTGTATATATATATATATATATATACACACACACATATACACACACAATGAAGTATTACTCAGCAATCAAAAAGAATGAAATCTTACCATTTGCAACTACGTGGATGGAACTGGAGGGTATTATGCTAAGTGAAATTAGTCAGAGAAAGACAAAAATCACATGACTTCACTCATATGAGGACTTTAAGAGGCAAAACAGATGAACATAAGGGCAGGGAAACAAAAATAATATAAAAACAGGGAGGGGGACAAAACAGAAGAGACTCATAAATATGGAGAACAAACTGAGGGTTACAGGAGGGATTCTGGGAGGGAGGATGGGCTAAATTGGTAAGGGGCACTAAGGAATCTACTCCTGAAATCATTGTTGCACTATATGCTAACTAATTTGGATGTAAATTTTAAAAAATAAAAAAATAAAATAAAATAAATAAAAAATAAATTATGAACTGGCGCCAACAATAAAAACCTAGATTCGGGCTTTCCTGATGGCAATGTTTAGCCATACCCAAAAGCAGCAGAGACCAGGCAACCCCATCTGGTCCCAGACTTACTCCTGTGTCTTTGGGTTTGAGCACTGGGGACCTGAGACTTCAAGACAAGCACCTACTCCACTATTCAGACAGTATAAGCCTGGGGAGACTCCACACTGACAACCAGAAGCTGAAAGAGGCTGCAGGGCAGGCTCCAGGGCCAAACCTGGGGGTGAGGGGAGGTGGGGGGAGGCTGAGCACAGCTGCTGAAGTGACCCTCCATGGTCTGGGGTAAGGGAAGGTTGTGGGGGTGGGGAGTGGTCACCAAGATGTGGCATCTTTGACTTTGGAAGACTCACAGCTTCACAGCTCACCTGAGCTCCATCTGTGAAGAGTTTGGCTGACTCTGCCAGGTCTCCAGACCACTGGTCCTCGGGATGAGACTGGGCCAGCACTGAGGGGAGAGGAAAGTGTTAGTGCCCTCAGCCCCACCCTAAGGACACAGAGGTCAGGCACCCAGGCAGTTAACATGTACCCAGATGCTGGCCCAGGACTCTGAGCTGAATGAGAACAAGGACTGCCATCCAAATCACACAGAACACCCTGCCCTGGCCAACATGCACCTCCTCCTTTGGTCCACATACACATACATACCTTAAGAGTACATCCAAGGCCCCTGAAACCCAAATCACTGAAACACCAAGGAAACAGTCATGAGAGCCTTCCTTTGGCTGCAGCCAGATGTTCAGGAAAGGGTTGACTCAGCAAGCCTGGGTTGTCCAAACCTTGCACATTCCAAAAGTCTGGCCCTTGACCTGCTCCTGAAAGGTAACCTCTTAAGCCCTTGGAATATTCTGCCTCTCAAAGGTATCTCTGTTTACCTAAGGACTTAGGCCAAACCAGAGAGTTCATGCTAACAATGTGACTTACAGTGGTGACCCTGGTCCATATTGTACCAACCTGACCTCTGGGAGGAGTTGAGACTGAGTAACTATGGTTAGTATACTCCATACCTATGTAACTGAACCCTCAATAAAAACCCTGGATGCCACAACTCAGGTAAGCATCCCTGGCTGCTACACTGTCACATATCATTGCTGTGAGAATTAAGCATTGTCCACATGACTACCCTGGGAAAGGTCATGTGGAAACTTATGCCCACTATCTCCCAGACTATGCACCTTTTTCCATTGCTGAGTTTAATATGTATCTTTTCGCTATAATAAACTATAATCACGAGTATAACAGCCTTGTTGAATTCTGAGACTCCTTCCAGCATATCATTAAGACTAAAAGTGGTCTTGGGGACCCACACACATACCTTGACATTGACAGCCAAGGAAATAGTTTGAGATATTTGGCTTCTGGAATCCCTGACAGCATCACAACAATCATCTCCAAGGCCACCCACAGAAAGCAAGGGCCAGCCCCTCTACCCTCTCTCACGTGGGGGCATTGGAGGGGCCAGCAATAGGCCGAGACCAGGTAAGGGCATGGAGCAAAGGCAGGAGTCTTCATGTAAATGTGAACTATGGCAAACTTGAAACTGTGTTATTTCAAGGATGAATGGATGTAACCATGCACATCCCACAAGATCCACATGAGTACCAGGCCTGAGTCCATTTAGTGACCTACTAGTAGGCTGCTATTCCAACATCCACAATGTTATGATGCAAAATCTTTCTTCTTTTTAAGTTTTTTTTCTTAGTAATCTCTACACCCAATGTGGGGCTCAAACTCATGACCCCAAGATCAAGAGTCACATGCTCTTCTGACTGAGCCAGCCAGGTGCCCTGCAAAATCTCTTTTTATAGTGTGTAATCACCTAAGCATCTATTCAGTGAGAAGCTTGGAACTGGAACTAAGAGACCTCTAACGAGGAGGCAAACAGTCAGGAGACAGCCCGCCTCAAAACACCAGCAACAGGCTTAGAAAAGAGCACAGTACCACAAGCAAACACCCCACAAAAACTACAGACACATTCATCCAAAATGTCTCGCCTGCACCTCACGTTCATGCCTAGGTGAAAACCTGCATTATCAAGGTTTTCCTTAACAGTAAGTGAATCCAGTTTGCAGCCTTTCCAGCATGTACAGAACTAGCTTCATCATGTCCCCTTCAAAGAGCCCAGCACCACCCAGCACTGGCCCTCTTTTCAGTTTCCAATTGTCTCAATTCCAATCTCTTCCCTTTGTTCCTACATCTGTAGGAGGGTACTATTCCCTGCAGTCCCTACGGCCATGACACCTTATTTTTTCTATACTTTTCTCTTCCTTCAATACCTAGGTTAAATTATTTGCATTAAAATCCTCTCTGTTAAAACGAGTGCTATGTTAGCATTCCTCAAAAGGTCAAACAGCCTCACCAGTCATTCCACCCCCAGGTATATAACCAAGAAAACATTTGTCCACATAAAAACACATAGACATACATTCACAGCATCATTATACATAATAGCCAAAAGGCACAAACATCCCAAATGTCCATTAATAGATAAATGAATAAACAAAATGTGATATACTCATAGTAGATATTATTTAACCATAAAAATGAGACAATTACATGCCACAACATAAATGTACACTGAAAACATTACACTCAATGAATGAGGCAAGTCATAAAAAGCTACATATCATATGATTCCCTTTAATGAAATGTCCAGAATAAGCAAATCCATAGAGACACAAATATTAGTGTTTGCCAAGGCATTAGGAGTAAAATGGGGAGTGACTCCTCATGGGCACAGTTTCTCTGAGATGTTTAAATTATGGTATGAGGCAATGGTAATGGTTATATAATCTCGCAAATATACTAAACCCAGGGACTGTATACTTTTTTTGTATGCAAATTATAACTTAGTAAACCTGTTTTTGTTTTTCATCACTAGGTTTTCTACTTCTTGATATGGAGGATCAAGAAGACAAAAGACACTGCATAGGTATCTGTGAGCAAATGAGTGAACAAATGCCAGGATGAATGATGGCATCCTATCCAACCATCTCTCCAGCCGGTTTCATGATTATCCCCTCCCCACAGGCATACAGACACATGTTGCCCAAAGTGAAGATGTCACATGGCATGAACTGCAAAGCCATCCCTGGAGAGGCCAATCTCTGTTCACCTCCTTGTGCCCCACCCCCTCCAGAGAAAACAGGATACCCTAATTATGACTGGTGGTCTCACCATCCAACTCTCTAAACAGACCAAGTTCCAATAGGGCAGAAACCTTGCTTGTTTCCTTCCTTGATTGACTTAGATGCCTGGAACATGGCATGCATCCAGTGACATTTTGAGTAAGGAAAGAAGGAAGAGAAAGGAGGCCTGGTGCACCCTGAGAGGGTGAAATGTCATACCAATGTCAAGCTCACATCTCTGGGAGGCTCACAGGCTACAAAATGCTCCAAACATGTTGCAGCTTTTGAGTCTTCTTCCCAGTGATAAGAACACTGGGTCAGGGTGGTAGGTTGTGTCCACTTCTGCATTCCCCAGCCCCTGGGCCTCCCAACCAGGCCCCTGAGCCCCTGTGGCTCACCAGTTTCCTGCATCATCTGAGCAAGGCTCTCCACCAGCACCGCAGCCTCCTCAGCACTCTCAGGGCACTGGGACTCCACCCAGACCTGGGTGTCAGGTGGCAACACACCCAAGAACTGCTCCAGCACTAACAGCTCCATCATTTGCTCCTTGGAGTGTGACTCAGGCCTCATTCACCAGCAGCAAAGGTCTCATAGCCTGGCCAGGGCCTCTCAGGGCCCTGCTGCCTCTTCATAGCAGAAGCTGCAGAAGCACTGTCAGGGGTCCCTACAAAGCCTGGACAGCAGGGTGGAGGGCTGAGGGTTAGAGAGAGGTTCAGGATCCCATGTGGTGGCCTCATCATCCTCCCTCTTGATGACCACAAGCTCTTCTTGACTGAGGGGTGCTGGGTCTACTGCCATGGCAAGACCTTGGGAAGCTGGTCTCACCTGCACTCACTCAGGCCACACACTGTCTTCCCGGGACAAATGCCCACCCAATCAGGGCCACAGACCATGCACGCCCTTCCAGCCACCCATACCCTCAAGGTCACTTCCTGTTGCAGAAACCGTCCCTAAGTCTGGCTAGCTGGCAACCTGGTAGGGGATATCTCCAGCCTGAACTTCCCCATCTGTGCCTTCAAGAGAACACCTGGCACTGGGAATCTGGTCAAGAGAAGAGTGAACCCACCCCTGCAGGGGGAGTTTACAGTAGCTCATATCAGGCTAGGTAAAGGTACAAGAGTTGTTCCTGGAGATAGAGGGCATGGATATGCCATATCTCAGTGAACTGAGAGAACTCCACCAACACCCAAGCAGAAGTGCTGGTGGGAACTAGCAGAGGGTCTATGCCCAGGGAGGGTCAGAGCAAGTGAAGGATACAATCTTCCAGACACTAGGAAGAGTGATGTAGGGTGATGGGGGCACATAAGGGCAAGCTAAGGGCAAAATACAGGCTGGCATACTGCCCCCTGCCCCCAGGTGGAATATGTGTAATATTCCTGGGCTGGGGACACTCCTGACTGCCCAAGAACAAAGGAAAGGGCTTAAGTGCTTGCCATGGTGATGTGGGAAACTAAGGCAAATGAAAAATTAAATTCCCTTACTGCCTATAGCCCATTGACAAGTCCTTGAGACCGGCAGAGTGACCTCCCTCTAGGAGTTCAGCTACCTCAAGGATGACACTTTGCTGGGAGCAAAAGAGAACCTTGGCTTCACATTATCCCAACCTCAAGGATCCTATAAGTCAACTTCCTTTATTTCAACTGCTTCAAGATATATGCTGGCAATCATACTCCAAGCTTATGGTTCCCCGATATGCATCTAAAGAGTCTCGTCACTGAGGCTTTATTAAACGGTGATAAATGGTGTTTCCCTAGCAACAGCTAGCCCCTCAAGGTCCTGGAAACCTTGTTTCCAAAATTTCTTAAAGACATACTCTATCCCTGACCCCCTCCCAACCTGAGGGTATATAATGAGTTACCTGTCACAACCTCAGTGTAGCTCTTCCTGCCCACAGGTCCTGTCCCCATGCTTTCATAAAATCATCTTTTTGCACCAAAGACATCCTCAAGAATCCTTTCTTGGTCATTGGCTCTGACCCCACGAACCCCCCCCCCGCCATCACCCCAAAACTTCATCATAGAGGACAGACTGGAAGAGAAAGATGGAAACTAAAAACAACTGCAGGGCAGCCAGCACGGGTCAGGTACAGGGATAGCAACAGCTGACACCTACGCTGGAAGGCCTTCCTTTCCCCCAGGGCAGATTCCTACAGAGCCCGAGAGGCTCAGCTCATACCAATTAGCCAAGATCAACAAATGTCAAGTAGAGATGTCCACTCTACAATGTTCAACAAGAAACTAATCTGTGGTGGTCCTCACACAATGTGATCCCACTAATGTTAACATATTTTAAAGCAACAAAAGTTTGAGGTGTACGTGTGTGTGCATGTATGCAGAAGCTACTGTTATATAATAAATGTTCAGAAACAGGTCCTGAAAAACAAACTCCCAGCAAGCAAATCTGGGGAAAGTAACTGGAGGAGAAGTCCACTTTTTCTTTCATAAATCTCTACACACCGTCTCAATTTTTTTGGCAATGACCATTTGTTACCATTGCAACTTTAACACATAATTTCAGTGCCAGCACATGTTGTTATATGGGTTGGTCAGGGTTCCCAGACTGGGGAACCTCCATCCTCCTCCACCACCACCACCACCACCACCACCACCACCACCACCACCCCGCCCCCCCGCACACCCACCTAACCACCAGGTGCCCAGAGGCAGTGGCTAGAGAACATTCTGGCCAGCAGGATCAGCACAGGCAAGAGCCATGTGGCCAGGGCGATCCTACAGAGAGTTTGGCAGTATAAGGGTCTGGATTTTAATCGCCATGTGCGGGGAGCACCCCTCCCCATCACTCTCACAGATGAACGCACAAGTAGTGGGAGCAAAAAGGAACTCAGGTCTGGACTGAGGAAATCCAGAGACTCCCCAGAGGAAGTGAGAAGTTTTGAGGGTGCAGGTTGGGTGTGAATCTAAAAAGCAAGCACCCAAGGGAAGCCCAGAAAATTGGCTCGTGTAGGATAACAGCACCAACCGGCTGATGGAACCGCGAAGGGTGGCGAGAGCTGACCTCAGCCCGGAACCACTTCCGGGCCAGGACCCTCACACACAAGACTCTAGGGCCAAGGGGCCCCTGAGCCGCCTCTCCCGGAGGACTAGCTGGGCTCCCAGGGAAACGGGTGGTGCTTCTCTGCACCACCTCCCCTGCTGTCCTCCACCGGCTGCGCACCCTACCTCAGGCCTTTCCGACACTCCTGGCCGGATTGCGCCAGGACTCACCGCCCCAAGCAGCCACACGGACCAGTCCCACCGCGCTTGAACAATGACCAACCACCCTGGGGACAAGAACCGGGAGCTTCCGGGCCCTCTACTGACTGCTTCCGGCGCCTTGTATCCCCCCAACACTCCCCAACTCTACTCGACAACCCACGCAAGCAGGCCAAGAGGTGAGGGACACGGGTGTGTTGCTCCTGCAGGTCTATGGCAACGGCCCGCTGCCGGAGTTGAAAGGCGTAGGAGGCCGCCTCTGTCGGCTAGGTTCTCTAGGAAACGTAGTCCCCAACGCTTCAGAGATCCAACCTGTAGAGTTGCTGACAGTGCATTTCACAGGAGACACGGGGCTTCCCTGTGGCACCACCAGGGCCCCCCGGAAATGTTCAGGGACCTGCTAAAGGTTGCTAGTTGAACGAATCCAGGGCTCTCCACTCATTTGTTGAGGGCCAGGCGCTGTCCCCGGCTCTGAACAAACGAGCCCTGGAGCCAGACGGGCACACGCATGCCTAGTCTCCGCTATGCAATGTCTGCAAGATCTCCAGTGGCTGCTCATGCAACTACATCTTCCACCCACTGGGCTTTGGCCTCAACGACTCCTGCCTGGTCACCTGCCTCCTTCAGCTGCTGCACCGCATTCAGCCTCCGTTGAGGATATTCCTTCCTCCCATTCCTTAGGCCCTTACAAACCACCCTACCACACTGGGCTGTGTCTGTCAAGCCCTTCTGTAACGTGGCATTTTGAAATGATGGGTTTCCTGATTGTCAACGAGGTCCCTGAAGATGAAGACTGAGACACCACTTCCCCAGAAAGCCTACCCTATCATGTCCATGTCCCCAGCTTGGTGGGGTCCCTCCTGAGTGACCTGTCATAGCCTTGTCACATAGAATGTAACAACCTCTGGACTGGCAGCTCCTGAAGTCAGTCTTCACTCACCCTGGAATCCACACCTAGCACATTATAAGTGCTCATACATTGTGCAACCAATCCAGTCTGCCACCAGAATCCTAAGAAAAGCTTCCCTTCTCCTTCTCATCCCCCTTACCATTCTCCCCAGGAAAGCAAGCAAGGGACCTCATCTCACCTTTCTTCCAGTAAGGCTGATCCTTCAAGCCACTGGTCCCGACCCATGTGATGAGTTCACAGCAAGCCCAACAATGCAATGTTAGCTGAGACAGAGGTAGCAAGAATCCTTTCTCCCATCTTTATTTCTTGGCACATGTGTGTGTGCGCGCGCGCATGTGCGTGCGCATGTATGCAGACATATGCAGATACCTGTGTTGAAAGGAGTCCAGGAGCCCAGACATCCCTGTCCCACCACCTGTGGCTCATCCGGCTAGAGCACAAGAACACCTTCCCTTGCTGACCGACTGTGGTTTGCTGGCCCAAGCGGTGTTTCGGCAATCAGATGGACACCCCATGATGCCTGTGATTACAGTTTGGGGGGACAGGAAAACAAACTGGAATGAAGGGAGACAACAAGACTGTCAGGAGGTGGGGCAGTGTCCATCAGAATTAGAGCTTTGGGTCTAACATCTGAGAGGCTAGGCTATAACCAGTGCACTGGGAGCTAACTCTGAGGTGACCACTGAGCTCTTAGGAGTGGATGGTATTTTCCAAAGAGCACCAGAACCAGGAGACTGTCAGAATCACAAAAAGCTCAGAGGCTGGAGGGAAACCAAGACACCATGCCACAGAAATTCAGAGAAGAAAACATTTCCAAACCAAGCAAGTGATCCCTGGTATCAACAGTCACAGGGAGCCAAAGTGCTCTGGCACTGAGACGACAGAGGCCGTGGAAGCCAGAAGAGGTAAGGATGGCATGGAAAGTGAGAAAGGACATGCCGAGAGCAGGAAACCCTCATCTAAAGTTGGCTAGGAAGGGTAACAATGGTGCAGGGAGAGGTCAGGCTTGGAAAATGGAAGAGGCAGGTCTCAGTTCTGGCCCCCCACAAGGAAAACCACCCTGGCAGACTGTGCAGGGCAACTACCATACTACAGGGTGTATCTCTGTCATGGGTGAGCACTCCTGGGCCCTGCATCTCATCTGCCAATCAGAAGACACCACCCTTCTGTTCCCCAAGCCTAGAGTCGTGGGTCACTATACAAAAACCACAGAGCATGAGATATGAGAACCATGGGGAAGAAGCAGCAGTATCTGACCTCCAGAAACAAAACACCATTAGACAGAACTCATGTGAGGTCAAGTCCAAGCCCCAAATCATATAGGACAGCCAGAGGTCTGACCTTCAGGACCTGTGCCCTTAGCCACTTGCCCACCCTCTATGGGACCCACTTGGAGCAATGGCAGGCTTCCTGCCGACTCCCTTGCTGCCACCACCACAGGGCCTCCTGAGGATGCAGCTGCCCGAGACTGTCGCCTCCTTTCCCGGTGTAGCTCCCGGAGGCGAGCAAGGGCACAGTGGACACCCCGGGAGACCCGCAGGCTGCGCTCCCGGTTTGGATCATTCTCTATGAGGACCTGTAAACCAGCAGCAAAGTGAGACAGAGCCTGGGCGAGATGCTCAGGGCTCAGAGCACCCACACCAGCTTCCTCAGCGCCTGCACCCACCACAGCCTCTGTGAAATCTGGCTCTTGTTTTCTAGAGACCAGGCCATTCCCTGTCTCCCAGGGCAGCCCAGAACCACTCATGTCCCCATCCTTTGCATCCTGGGGGATGCTGTGGGGTGGGGGCTCCCCATGGGCCTGCAGCAGGCTGGCAACATCAGCCTCAGCTGCATCTCCAAGGCCCACATGCCGAGCTAGTGCCACAATACTGCGGCGGAGCTGAGGCACAGTGTCAGGCTCAGGGGTGCCAGCAGGGACACACTCAGGCCAGAGCTTCCTCCAGGCGCTGTTCATGGTGGCAGGCTGCAGCTCTGCCCAGGCTTCAGCTATATTGTCCACAGCAGTCACGACAGTATAGCTGCGCAGGAACTCCTGCACAGAGGGTCGGTCTTCACCAGTCGTCTCCTGGACCAGCTGGCTGAGCGTGCGGCGCAGGTAATAGGCCTTGAATGTGGCAATGACACCCTGGTTCATGGGCTGGATCAGGGCCGATGTGTTCTTGGGCAGGAACTCAACCCTCACGTGGGCTGAGAGGCCACCCAGGTGAGCAGGGTGGCAGGGTGCACCATCCAGGAGCAATAGGGCACGGTGTGGGAGGCCATGGCTGGCACAGTAGCTCTCTACAGCAGGACAGAAGCAGCCAGTAAACCACTCCTGGAAGATGCTGGGTGTCAGCCAGTCATTGCGGTTGGAGCGCCAGACCACAGGAAGGCTAGCCTTGGAGCAGCCCTTGAGGGCACGTGGATTCTCCGAGGGGTACACTAGCAGAGGCTTCAGTTTAAAGTCACCAGCTGCGTTGCCACCAAGCAGCAGGGTCAAGTGGTCCTTAGAGGCCTTGAGGCCAGGCCCGGCTGCCCCCTCCAGTGCCAGCAACATGCGCTCTGGCAGCCGCTTCCAGAACAGGCCTGTCTCATCCACGTTGAAAACTTGGTGTGGTGAGTAACAGCCCTCCTCCAGAATGGTGCGCAGCACTGGGGGATAGTGGGCAGCAGCCTGGGTGTCAGCCACAGCTGGCTCATCTGTCAAAAGCACATTGTTGCGAGCCTTGAATCGGGCAAACCAGCCGTTACTGGCCCCGAAGGTCTCAGCCTGAGTGCCACTGCCCTGCTCATGCTGCAGCTGCACAAAGAGCCGTCGTGCCTTGTCCTGGATGAGCAGTGTGCTGATGGGCAGGTTCTGCCGCTTCTGCTCCTCAATCCATAGGCTCAGCAAGCGTTCCATATGGCCCATCACCACACCCCGGCAGCGGGTCAGCTGCGTGGCACTGACAGGTGTGGCTGCCTGGGAATTGGCCCGGATCTTGTCCTTGTTGACACGGATTGAGGCGACGGTAGAGGTGGCCAGCCCCAAGGCCCGGGCAATCTGAGTCAACTTCTCACCTTCCTCAAACCTCCGAAGCACCTCTAACTTCATATGCAGGGTGATGGACTTTCGGTCCCGCTTGGCACTGTGGCGGAGGCCAATCCCACCAAGGGGTGCCTTCCCCGACACCTGCAGGCGGGAAGTTGTCTTCATTCCGCCTCCCTGAGCCACACACCTTGATGAAGCCTCTCCGCACTGCCAGTTTCCACAGTAGCTACCAGTGTGCCCACAAGGGCAGCCTCTTGGCCTCTCCTGCCACACCTGCTTCTGCCTGTAAGACAAGGACACGTGGGCATTAATGTGTAAGCATATGGAAGTCCCAACCATCAGCTGGCCTTTCCGTGCTCCAACACAGAGCACCCAGCTCTGCTGACCACTGCCTCAGAGGCATGCCCAGTCCCTTCTTTCCGTACTGCTAAAAACACTGCCCACTCACTTCCAAGTATCCTTTGCATCTAAAGGAGCATGTCACTTAGTTTTAGCTTATGAGATCAAGAGATGTCTGCTAGGAGACTCTGCTCTCTTCCCCTAGCAAACCTCTTGCAACAAGATAGTCTAGAAACCCTGGCCCACCTCCCAGACACTAATGAGCAAATGAGGTACCCACTTCCATGCTTCTCACCCTTTTCATGCTTCAAACATCAGTGTGGGTTGCTGAATAATGGTTCCTAAAGACATTCACGTCTAATCCCTATGAATAAATTACCTTACCTGGAAAAAGGGACATTGTGGGTATAATTAAGTTAATAATCTTGAGATGGAAAGATTATCCTGGGTTATCCGAATGGGCCCTAAATGTAATCAGAGAAGGCAAAAGATTTCACTCAGAAAAACGCAATGCAACCACTGAAGCATAGAGGATACAGAAGGAACCAGGGGGGCCTGAGTGGCTCAGTCGGTTGAGCATCCAGCTTCAGCTCAGGTCATGATCTCACAGTTTGTGAGTTGGAGCCCCGTGTCAGGCTCTGTGCTGACAGCTCAGAGCCTGGAGCCTGTTTCAGATTCTGTGTCTCCCTCTCTCTCTGCTCCTCCTCCGCTCATGCTCTCTCTCTCTCAAAAATAAACAAACATTAAACAAAAAAAAAAAAAAAAAGGAACCAGCCCTGCTGATACCTTGATTTTAGCCCACTGAGAAACATTTCAGATTTCTGACCTCCAAGACTCTAATACATCGTGTTGTTTTAAACCACTCATTTTTCAGTAATATGTTACAGCAATCATAGGAAACTAACACAGAAGAGAACCAACCTAATTTATGCCACAAACTATGGAGTACCTGAGAACAGAAGAGGATGGTGGTTCTCCACACGGCAGCCACAAAGATCCAATAAGAACTAAGATCCTATCTCCCCTCTGTTCAAGCCCTCCCAGCTCTGAGTAAAAGCCACAATCCTCACCAGATTCTTCAAGTGTCTTAGAGCCTCTTCTTTTATTTTGTTCACTCCTGCCCACATCCTTGGGGCAGACTAAGAGTGCTCCTGACTCAGGGCCTTTGCCCCTGTTTCCTTCAGCCCATGCAGGGCCTGGGCACTTCCCTTATCTGCATAGCTTGTTCCCTCTCCTACAGATCTCTGCTCAAATGTAACCTAATCAAAGAGGCCCTCTCCACCTACATTTTATTATGTATCTGTCACATGCTGCCTGAAGGCAGGAGCTGTGTTGGCTGAGCTCTCCCTTGTGTCCTCAGACCCAAGAATAGTGAATCCAGTAGTCGCTAGCTGATGAAATTATTAAATTAAGTACAGCGGTGGAAGGCATGCTTTTCACCTTGTCCGTTTTGCATTTTGAATCATGTGAAAGTAGCACTGGATCAAAGAGTATATACACACACACACGTTTGTGTGTGTGTGTGTGTGTGTGTGTGTGTGTGTGTAGTGCGTGCAAAATACAAGGGACAAATGACTGGCAGGTTTGTTTCTGCCGTGGCTATGGTATCGATACCTTCAAGGATCCATGGACTACACATGGCTTAAAATAAGGTGGCACATGCCACAGGTCCCCCATGCCTGGGAGGCAGGGAAATGTAGGTGGACATGAGAAAGGCTCCTCTTGCTTACTGAACCACTCACGCGCTGCGCCATTGTTCTTTCAACATCCATGCCTTCCTCTGCTCATCCACAATTTTAAATTAATTCACCCACATGCTCATTCATTCATTCCCTCCCTCCCTCCCACCCTCGTGCGAAAGCCTCCAAACCCGCCGCCGGTGGAGGCTCGCTGCCCAATGTCTCGGTGGAGCCAAGGGCTCGTCCCCTTGAGACTACATTTCCCACAAAGCCTCGGGACCGCCGGAATCTTCGATTGGCCCATTCGCGCTTGTCCCGGCCTGCGCGCGCAGCGGCCTCTCTTCCTTCTCGCCGTTTCGGACCGAGAGAAACGGTGCCCAAGCCCCCGCCACCGGAGCCCGGGCCCCCGCGCGGCTGACTGCCCGCACCTCCGGACCGCGACGCGGGCCGGCTGCTTCGGCTGGGCGGCTGGGGCTGCGGCTCTTCCCCATCTCCTGCCTTACAGCGCCTCTTCCCAGGGGCGGCCGAGCTCGGCCTCCATGTTGTCGGCGGAGGCGGAAGATTGTCGGCGGAGGCGGAAGATTGCCGGCCACTATCGAGATTGGACTAGTCCGCGCGGGGCCAGTCCCCGACGGCGCTCTAGGCCCTGCGCCCCGCGCTCGCAGGCCAGCCGGGAAATGTAGTTCGACGACGAGGATGCTGCGCGCAGAACCCAGGCGGGGGCGCCGTTGGCTGTCTCTACCCAAAGCTGACTTGCTTTCTGTTTAATTTCTCTCGAATTTTTCCCGCCGCCTGCTTTCTTTCCATTATCCTCCCTACCTCCTTCCATTCCTAGCTTTGTCACCTCTTTCTCCCAGTTCGTTCCCCATCCTGGAGAATTAATTCCGCTCAGACTGTCAAATCTTTTTTTTTTTTAAGTTAACAATAAACTCAAGGAGTACATGCCAAACAGTTATTTACCTCATGGAGGGAACTAGCAGGATGACATAGGTGGTTCCGGGAAGATGAGAAAGAACTGAAAGGGTGAAAGAAATAAAGGACATTGAGGGGTGACTGGGTGGCTCAGTCGGTTAAGTGTCTGACTTCAGCTCAGGTCATGATCTTACTTTGTGGGTTCAAGGCCGGCGCCTGGCTCTGTGCTGAACACTTGCTCAGAGCCTGGAGACTGCTTTGGATTCTGTGTCTCCTGTCTCTGCTCCTCCCCAGCTGGCACTGTCTCACTCTGTCTCTCAAAAATAAACATTAAAAAAGAAAATTCTTTAATAGAAAAGAAAGAAATAAGGAACACTGAAATAAAAGCCCAAAGTCGAATTGGTGCCCTACAAGCGAGCAGGCCTGGGTGTCTCAGTGCTGTAAGGTTGATACAACTCTTAACGCCAAGCATTTGCAATCTGGCCTCTGAAGAGTTACTTCTTATAGGGAATCAGATAAGCTGAAGTGGGCTTGGTAGACAATGCTAGGAAACGCAGAGAGGGTCCCCAGTCATCCTTTTTTGTCCTATTGTCAATTTTGGGATAAGTTTCCCTAACAAGTCTCCCTCCAACTGTCTCTACTTGCCGTCTGTCACCCTTCTCTAGGTCTTTGAAAACTCTCAATCCATCTCTAATTTCTGTCCCTTCCTCTCCTCTTGCCTCTGTATGTCTGTATTCCTTATCTGTCTCTTGAATCTCAATATCTGCACTTCTTGTCTTTGTGAATCTATTCTCACTCTCCCACTTTGTCTCACCTTTCATATCCACCCCTTCTTGATCTCCCTCCCTCTTGCTGACTTTACTGACACTCCTGTCTACCTGGCCCTGACTCTCTGATCCTCTGGCTTCTTACCACATTCTCTAGGTCTCTGAAAGGAGAAATACCTCCCCGTTGACTTTCTTTCCTACCGGTGTCTCGGTCTCTGTATCTGTTCAATTACTTTCACGGTCTCTCCTTGAATCTCTCTGCCCCCGAGTGGGCCCTCATAGGCTTTGGGTCTCTCCCTGCCCGGAAGTCTTCGCGTCTGTCTTTCCTTACTGTCTCGCTCGGTTTCTCTGCTCCGGCCCGCTCCCCAAGCCCTTACCCCACGTCCCCCATCCCTGGGTTGAGCTGGAGACCTACTAGTCAGCCCATCCGGTTACCATGGAAACGCCCGGGCCCGCCAAGTACACAATGGGACGTCGTCTGGCTGCGCATACGCGCACGGAGGTCTCAGCCAACTACACTTCCCAGAAAGCACGCGGCCAAGCCTCTCCGAATCTGCCGTCCGGGCGGGCGATGAAGGAGGTGCCCCTTTCGAGGCAGAAGGTTGCCATGGAGACGTAGGTTGCCGGCGCCCTAGCGAGGACGGTGATTGGTGCAGAACCCTGCTAATCCCAGGAACACCCGTAAAGAATTGAGGAAAACGTGGTGGGGGGCATGCGCGGTTGGGAAGGCGGTGCTGCTGTTCGAAGCCCCCAGAGAAGCTTACGCACGTCGACGGGGCATGGACGCCTGGATCTGAGGCGGGGAGCGTGGAAGAGGCGGCCGGGCGTGTGATCTGATCGTTACGAATGCTACACCGGGGAACAGGGGAGGAGGGTGGAAAACGAGGCGAGGGTGGGGGAAGAGCCAGGTGGCACTCGGGCTGAATGCGCGGAGCATTCTGGGAGACCTAGTCCGTCCGGGGAGGGGGAAGCCGGAGATTGCGCATGCTTAGGAGCGCGGAGCGGCCCGCTGAGCGTGGAGGTGAGGGCGGGGACCTCTCAAAGAGGAAGGCTTGGGCGGGGACCCGGGCGGCGACCGGGAACTCTTGGATTGCGGCTACCCTGCGGGAGTGCGGAACAGGGATCTAAGCACTCCCTCTCGGTGAGCCCGGTGCTGTCGGCGACGCTCATCTATCACTGAAATGCCACAGCGACAAGCTCTCGGAGCCCCGCCCCCCCTTCCCGGTTGCCCTGGCGGCACTAGACCAACCCTGGGAGTGGGAAGAGGGCGCTCTCCCAAGTGGAAGTTGCCCTCCAAGATTTCTGGTAAATGTAGTGCAGAAACCTTCGCAGGGGCTGGCCGGCTTAAAAATGGTCCAACCTTTTCCCAGGGTTTCGGGTTGACCTGGAACCTTCAGGAACGGAATTTGACTCACGGGATCAGGCGACCCTGGAAATCGATTCTTACTCACGTAATAAACTCAGATTTCTTCACAAAGCCTGCACATTAACACCAGCTGCAAAAGGAGCAGCAATGGCAGGGAGGGGGGAGCGCCCCCACTTACAGGGGATCGGTAAGGTTGGGGAAACTGAGGTTCACAGAAACTTGCCAAGGTTATGTAGCAAATAGGCCAGATTAGAATCTCCAGCCTTGCTTGCAGGCACCCGGTCCAGTGGTCTTGGGGCCTTTGTGGGCCCCCTGGAGCTCCCCCATCACCTCCTAACCCTGCCTAAATCAGGAAACTGAAGAGATGATGGGGCATTACGTGGTGTGATAATAAGTTCGGCTGGTTCAGAATGGGGCTGAATTGGGGTGGGGGGGGATGCTACCTGGAGGCTTGGCCACACAGTTGACTTTGCCCCGGGGCGGCGGGGCCCGGCCCCCCCCGGGTAGAGGTGGAGGGAGGCTGCTCTGTAGAAACAAGTTGAGAAGGGAATGGTCTGAGAGACTAGATGGGAGTGTGGGTGGTGCAGTGATGGACTGGTGTTGGAGGCTGAATGGGGGCGGGGGGGGGAGGGTAGTGGATGTTGTAAATGTCATTTACCTGACAGCCACAGGGCAAGGATGAGGTGGTGCACATAGAAGGACAGGATTTAGAGGAAAGGGGATGCCTTCTATTCCTAAGAAGCACCTTGTGTTTGGAGCAGGGAATACCAGAGACTAGGTCCCAGCTAGAGACCAGAGACTCAGGTGCCTGGCTTGTGACCATCTCTCTGTGCCCGTTTTCTTATCTGCCTTCCACTCGGTGCAGGTCTGAATATGGAACACCACAGCATACAGTAGGTGCTTAGTAAGCATTTGCTGTTTGTCCTCCTCCCAGCAGCCTCATCCTATTCCTCCCCCAGGGGAAGACACTGTCCTTGGAGCCCCCAGCCCAGTCTTTCCAATGAGGCCTGCAGCACTAGGCTCCCCAGGTCACACATCCTTGGAAGATGAGAGACCTGTCATGGTGAAGCTGGAGGACTCAGATGAGGAGGGTGACGCTGCCCTGTGGGATCCGGGCCCAGAGACTGCACGCCAGCGTTTTCGACACTTCCACTATGAAGAGGCAGTGGGTCCCCAAGAGGCCCTGGCCCAGCTCCGGGAGCTATGCCGCCAGTGGCTGCAGCCAGAGGTTCACTCCAAAGAGCAGATGCTGGAGCTCCTGGTCCTAGAGCAGTTCCTGGGTGCACTGCCCCCTGAGATCCAGGCCCGCGTGGAGGGACAGCGACCAGGCAGCCCTGAAGAAGCAGCCGCCCTGGTTGAAGGGCTTCGCCAGGAGCCAGGAGGGCCCCGAAGATGGGTGAGTCTGTGGCCCTGAGCCAGGGTCCAGGCTGGAACAGTATCCAGCTCTGCCCCACCCTGGGGAGTGCCATGCTTAGCCAGACACCTATTCCTTGTGGTTTAGAAGTGGTCACTTGCAGCAGACCTTGTATGAGCATAGACGCGTTTCCAGGGCCAGCCTCATTGGTCTATCCCTACATCACCTGGAGTCATGGACATGGGAAGGGATGCACGGTGGGGAGAGAGGGAGACCACTGGGCATTCCTGGGTGCCTGCAGCAGGAGAGCAACTGCAGATGGTCCCTTCACTCCTGGCTCAGTCCTGGAGGGAAGTGGGTCCTTGGAGAACAGAGTAGGTCAGGACCCCTGGGGTCCTGTGATGGGGTGGTTGCCCATAAACCCCCCTGCTTGTGCAAAACCCAACTCTCTGCCTGGGCCCTTGATGTTTGGGGGCACCTCCCCAGGTCACAGTCCAAGTACAGGGTCAGGAGGTGCTATCAGAGAAGATGGAACCCTCCAACTTCCAGCCCCTCCATCAAACCAAGCCACGGACTCCAGAACGTGGACCCGGGACACCATCTGAAGCCACACACGAGTCACCGCTGGGCCTTCAGGTGAAAGAGGAGCCCATGGTTACAGAGGACCCAGGTGAGGGCACGCAAGGTATGCATGGCCCAAGGCCTGATTGGGTGGACCAGAGGGGCCTGGCCTCAACAGCCTAAAGGTCCCCTGCTGGATGGAACTGTTCATATGCCCTAGTAGCCCCCACAACCTGCCTAGCTAGTGGCCATCACTACTCCTCACACACCAAGTCTGACTGTTACAACTATGTTTCTCTGCTCTCTCCTAGCATGGAGTAGTAAGCTATTGGGGTTCTGTGTGTGAGGCACGTGGGATTCACTCCCCAAGGGGATCCATTAGGAGATAATAGCAATTCTCTGGAGAGCAGACAGCAGGCTTGAATATGGGTTGGTGTGACTGAGGGAGGACCCCAGGGTGCTGGAAGGCATACCCCTCCCCATTTTACTCCTTCCAGGCAGATGCCAAAGTTGGCTTCCCACACCATCCATCATTCCTGTGTGGACCCTAGTGCAGTGCTTCTCTCCACCCTCACTGGCCATCCTACCCAGGACTCATGCAGGGGTACAGAGCACAGACCTGAGCTTGTCTCATCCTGCTGTAACTTCTCCTGTGGTCTTCAAGGGGGCTTTGCTTTACTCCACCCCCAGGCTGAGCCCTTAGAGATGCCCAGCCATGTCCAGCTCCAAACTTGGATTCCAGCATTTGGCATACCACTGAGGAGGGCAGTGGGGTGGGGACACCCTTGGGCCACCTGACCCCAACCTTCCTCTACAGAGCTTCTGGATTCTGGGCCTCTAGCCAATCCCCAGGAAGCCACTTCCACTCTCCTGCCTAAAGAGGCCCAGGTGAGCCCCATACAGACCATGCTCCCCACCCTGTCTGGGGAGCCTCAGTGGGTGGGGGTCAGATAGGTCCCTCCCTGGACCTAGCTGGGCACAGACGAACAGTGACCACTGTGGTTTCAGGATTGTGAGATAGTGCTGGACCAGGCCTCTCCCCACAGCGAGACTGGGCTTGAGGGGCCTTCATGGAGGGAGCATCCTGGGGCCCTGTGGCAGGAGGAAGCTGGGGGCATCTTTCCTCCAGGTGAGTGAGATGGGACATGGTGGGGCAAG